ACACACACACACACACACACACACACACACACACACACACACACACACACATATATATATATCTATACATATATATATATGAAAGAGAGCTAGTGTGTGTGTTTGTATATATTTGATATATACATATATATATATATATATATTCGTACCCATAAATACAAATACATATGTTCAATTAGCGATATTCGATTCTTTTTTTAATATTGGTCTATCACTATGTATGAGGTTATGAGAACACGTCTATGCATTTGTGCAATGTAAAACATCTAAAATGTATAAATAGGTATTCACTTCTACTAATCCCAAAACATGTGTATCATTCTACTGAATATATACTCCTTGCACGATGGTACTTTGAAAATGTTACATAACGATGATTATACAAAACGTATATATTCTTGTCACCTGTCGTATTCTTTGGTACACATATAGGACCATACTCGTGTGCTCTGCGTCAGAATGTCGAGCGATTAGAGCGGTGTAATGTGACGCATGTGGTGTGCATTCGGCACACCAAAGAAGCGTGTGTGATACGACCGAACTCACCAGACAGGTTCAAGTATCTGGTTTTGACCGTCGCGGATGACCCGGAGGAGAACATCATCCACCACTTCCCTGTGGTATGTAATGTATGCCTCACATGTGCATGTTGTCTTCTCTGTGCGTGTCTGGTACGCAGTCATATAAGCCTTGATCATTATACAAGTGTATCCATCCCCATGGTATGCGAGTTTGCTTGCATCACGTTGGTTCCTTACTGGGCTGCCGGGGATCGTCAAAAGTTCTGTATATATATATATCCCATGATTCAGACTAGACCTCAACTCTGAGTGGGTGCTACCCCGTCCATTGATAGCCTCGATGTGACTTGGCTGTTCAGAGGGGCTGCCCATCCCCTCCCATCCCCGATGACACCACGTACCCGTCCAAACGTTAACGTCTTATCGCATTGAATTCCGCTCACAGTTCCGTGATTTCATAAACGAAGCCCAACGCAACGGCACAAAAGCGCTGGTGCATGGTAACGCAGGGATCTCACGCAGTGCGGCATTGGTGATTGCGTATGGGATGGAGTACTACAACACATCGTTCGAAGACGCCTTCAAGGTCATCCAGTCGTACAGATTCTGCATACACCCCAGCGAAGCCTTCTGCTACCAACTCAAGGTATATGCCATGTGTGTAGTTAGTTACAACACAATTCAAGGTGTATTCCATGTGTGTGTACTCTCACACTCTTAGGCATGCGTCGTGCGTTTGTATCCGGGGGTGTGCATTTATGTGTAGTAGGTGCTACGTATATTCGGTAGATACAATTTGTATGTATGGTATTTGCTAAACTCGCGTGTACGGATTATGTAATCACAAACAGGAGTACGAGAATATATATAAGGCGAGGGCAAGTCAGGGCAACGGACGGATACAAAGCAGCAGAAAGAGGCAAAACCGCGAAGATGCCGATGACGGGGATAGAGGCAACGGTCAAACTATGCTGATGTGAGCAACCTTCTCACTTACAACCACGGCACACCAACACGTACAAAGCTTATAATAACGACTCACCAACAGATACAAAGGCTATAATAATATAATAATGGCTCACCAACACATACAAAGGTTATAATAATGGCACACACATGTGCACAGTGCTCGACAGGCTAGGAGCACAAAAGCAGACTTAAAAAGAACGCCAATCAAAGGACATACCAACGCACACCATATACGTACGACTCTGTACCCTAAATGAAGGCACACACAGGCGCAACGTGTAGAAGAGACGATCAAGAATCATTTAAAGTTAAGTTGGCGATCACGTAACATGTAGAGACGGGGGCGATCGAAAGGTATACTGCTGCGCGGCAGACTGGACCATGGCCTATGGGTAACGCAGTTGGTCGGGTGCAGTGTGGGCTATTGCAATGCATTTCTTACGGCCGAACCATAAGCCGTACAGGTCCATGTGATAGCCCCAGCACACTTGCTCAAATGTACGGAGGGTTGTGTTGCACGAGGCCATCACTCCAGCTCAGGCGTGTGGAGGGTTTTGGTTGCACAAGACGGATGTCCTGTCTTCGCAGCGGGAGACTTGGCGATTGTATCCAGCCACTCGCACTACAACAGAAACAGACCTGATTTTAGTCAACATCAGAAAACAGACTGATTTTGGTCTACAATAGCAAACAGACATGATTTTGGTCACCGGGTGCATGAGCTAGCTCGCGTTAAGCAGTGGCGAAGTGGTATAGGGTTCTGATTTCCGTTCCCCGCCCCCACCAGACGGTATGCGGCCAACTCTGGGTTCAAATGCAGCCAACTCTGGGTTCAAATGCAGCCAACTCTGGGTTTAAATACAGCCAACTCTGGGTTTAAATGCAGCCAACTCTGGGTTTATATGCAGCCAGCTCGGGGGGTTTACCGCATCATCAGCGAGTGCGAGACCTGATTTGGGTTTCTGGAGGGACGTCTAATTGTCAATAGTTTGGCAGCGGTCTGTCGGCATCCGCGATGTATTGCGACTAGTACACTATCATGTCATAGCTTTGATTGAGACTCATGAGACAATGCCACATTAAGGCAAAGCACAGCGCTGTATTAGTGCTACATTGCACTTTCGAATTTTTGATTGATTACTAGTAAGCCAACTCTCAAAAAAACTTCAGACATGCATATATTATAGTCATACAATGGTCCGTCAGAGATTGTATGACTAACTGAAATAATGTACAGCTCATTCGATACTGTTGGGGCTGCAAATGAACGGAACAGCTTTGAACAACTTTAGCTTTGGAGGTTATATGACTTAACATCGAAGAAAAAAAATTACAACTCATTGGATACTGTCTACTCACTACACAGCATTGCAGTTGTGTGTCTCTGCCATAATATTTACTTAAATACGTTTAATGTGTATACACCTGACACACTATCTGCTCTTTTCAGAATTTATAGAACTTATCAGCTGCTCTTACAGGATTTATAGAACGTATTCTCAAGAAGGTTGCGTTGCTACTCGTGTCGTTAAATGATGCGCGCTGCGTAATCAATCTGCCAAACCTTTGAAAGAAAAGAATTCTGGCATCGTACGATATCTTAAAAAAGGAATGATTGTGTGAGACTAATAGATTACGTAGTTACCAGTATACGTAATAACGTAATTCTGAAAGTGCGTTGTATTCCGAGGAAAACCAAGTGCAGTATTTACTCACACGTCCCAACTTGAAATATCTATAATAACGGTAGCAATGATTTAAAATTTTCAGAAGTCTATGTAGACAAGTAGAAGACATATATGTAGTAGTCAATACAGCAATACTATTTACCAGCCCCAAGTCCCCACCAGGTCATCATGCATGAATTTTGTTTTTATTTTTATTTTTTATTTCTTATTTATCTCCTCTCCCTTATCACTGATCACATGAAGAAACCCGGCAGAAAAAGCTATGATGTAAATGTGTGTAATGAAAAATGTAACCACAGCTGGTCTAAAATGCTCCAGTTGCATTTTGCCTTTTGGTGACAATTTCCGGGCGCCGGACAGGCCCAGCTAGAGCTGTTGTGCTAAATGTACTGGAGCTTGAAATACAAAGCAGATTTAACTATATTCAATACCCCGAGCTTGAGTGCCCGAGCTATATAAATAGCATATATGCATTGCACCGATATGTACACATATTGACAAACATACTTGGAATAAAATAGCGTTGCTTACGTCCAGTACTCGACACTACCTCACTTGAATCAAACGTCTCAAAGTTACATCTCAAAGTTACAATGGAGGATACATTTATCCTGTCGGTGCTTGGTGCGTGCATATTCGCGGCAGTCGTTGCAGTATGCGCGACATACGGTGTGGAGCGAATGGGTGGGCTTTTGGGTGGTATATTTGAAACCACCCCTACCACAATCATACCTGCTGCTATAGGCATAGCCAGGTCTGTATCCGACACAAAAGAACTATCAAAGGCTATGTCTTCGGTCCCCGTTGGCCTGCTTGTGACGTCCACATTTCTCATGGTGTGGAAATATCTACCTCCGAGGTTAGATGAGCGTATAAGCTCGAATAAGGGTTTGGCTATAACCATATCCGCGAGTTTGATAACATGGCTCATATTCGCATTGTTCTCTGTGTTTTCACTCCAGGATGTCAGTCAGGATCGCATGCTTGTAGTAGGGTATTGTAGTGTGGCCGCTCTATTGCTCATAGGCTTTAGCGCGACTTTTTATACCTTCGAGCGTAATCACGCTCTCCCCAATCCCAAGACGGATATGCCAGAAGAGAAAACACCTGTGAAGACGTTGATTGTGCGTGGTTGCTTCGCCGGGGTGGCTACTGCGGTCACTGTACTTCTGTCGAAGGTTAATGAGGTCGCCGCAGGGGTGTTCTCCACGTTTCCCAGCATATTCCTGACTACAATGGTCAGTTTGTGGTTATCAAAAGGAGCCAAGCTGGGTATGAGTGCTGTAGGTCCTATGACGTTAGGATGTGTGAGTGTGTGTGTCTTTGCACTCACGTTCGGGTATTTCGTGGATTCCTTAGGTCTGAATGTATGGATGGCTGCTTTGGCTTCGTATGTAGCGGGTCTATTGTACAGTACTTTACTTGCATCTGTTATGTGGGCCTCGAAGAAACATCTCAGCCATGCAGACTCGGACGAGTTGCTGTTAAATGAAGATATGGAGGTGGAGGTTTTGAATTAGACACTATCAAATGTTGGTTTGCACCCTGAACATTTTATTTAGATATAGGAATAAATTAGTATAAGCACAGGATTATATAGCGTAATAGTATATGCTCTATCCAATACGTTTATAGGCTTTTGAAATGAAATACAACAGTCTCTTTTGCATATTTGTATGCGATATTCTCTCGTCCCGTCGCTATTATATTGTACGTACAGCACCTTTTCTCGTTTCATATCAGATTATGCTGAATATGCATTGCTGAATGTTATCGCTGGTTCTCTGAAAGAAACGATAATCGGATGGTTTGTTTTAAATCTCACTAACTTGCCTTTTCTTGACCGAACTAACCCTGTGTAGCTTCCGGAACGATACGCACATGCATGTATGACTGCTAGAGGGCAAGTGCGGTTTTAGGCTAAACGGAAACTGCTAGACCATTACAATCTTGCTAAAGGACCAGGTCTGTTCACGCAAATCGACTCGGAATTTCATTGCGCCGTCAAATTAATTTCTCGTGGCTTGCTTATACTACGCCTGCTTTTCTCCATATTTAGACCACAGTACCGAGACCTGCGCATCCATCCGATATCACAACACTTTGTTGATGTGCAAATGGTTCATGTTCTGTTGTTGATTTACACATCATTGTCACTCTGCCGATGTTCAAATGATTCATACTCTCTTGTTGATTTACACATCAGTGTCACTTTGCCGATGTCCAAATGATTCATACTCTCTTGTTGATTTACACATCAGTGTCACTTTGCCGATGTAATAGTTCATGTTCACTTGTTGATTAACGCATCATTGTCGCAAATCTGCGTTCACTTGAGAATCGCAGAATACGAGAGTTATCTGCGCTATAGATGATACACCAAATATGTGCACTACTTAGAGCAGAGATGGGGTACAGTTGCGTTGCGCTCGTGTGCTTGACAGATGTCTTTTTATTGGATACTACATAGTGTTCAGTGTAAAGGGAGTATATGTTTATTCGCTGCGCGATTGCGGATAGTGAGCGCTATCCACGTATAGATATTTAATTCACGCGAGTCTGATAGAAAAGAGGGTAGCTCACATTCAATCGCATTATTTAATTATGTAGAAATGTGGTTAACAAACGAAGCTTTTCAATTCTGTTGGCCATTGTTTCTTCTCGGCTACGTGTAAATGGTTTCTGATTAATCTTTATATACGCAACGTCAACGTGTATTTTCTGTGTTTAAATATGCCTTCGTCATGAGCAATCCTCTAAAATCGACTGAAAGGACGCGAGAATGGTTCGAAGTCGAGCGCAACCGGTTCTGCGAGCCAATCCGGTGCATCAGCTGGTGCTGGTCTGTTTTGTTGATACTGATTAGATACACCTGCGTGTGTATTGCTACTTTACGTGGTGTGAAAAGCAAGAACATCAGCGCCTAGCAAGCATACTTAGTGTGATTTTTCGATTATGAAATCATATTGTGGCTGATTTCGATACCCAGTGAATAGCAAGCGAACATTACGGTATGCCTTCCTACAAATCTGTTTCGAACATGCGAATGTAACACTCCAGGCAGGAAAGCAAGAAGAACAGTTCTTGTAAGTTCAGCGTGTCTACTAGCATCTGGTATCTGTACACACTAACGCACGTATATGCTAATAAAGCAGTGCGCATATCAACATAGACGACTAAACGCATATGTACGAACGTAGGCACAACGAACGCAGGCACATATACACACACCTCACATGTCTTTCCTATATGTTTAATGTGCATTCTCAAGCCCAACATATCAGAAACGTTCTAAATTCGATGATAGGGCCTTGCATACATCAA